CTGTCGTTCGCGTTTTAATGGGAACCTTAAGCATCGACGACGACAACGGCAGTGAAAACATCACTAAAAAATGAATTTGCGTCCTTTCAATCTTTATCGCGTCTATTTGGAACCGCTTAATTCGACGAATGTAGGCGACTTTTCCTGGAGTTAAATTCTTAAGGGCTTTATCTATGTTCAAATAGAGACAGGAAAATTTCTCGTCATATTTCCACGTCCTCCATGAAACGTCGCATAAGGAGGCTTCACGTCGTAGTCGTGCAGTTGTTTTGCACATAAAAGCAATTGTTTTTTGACGCTGTTGTTGTCTTCGTCGTCGTGGTCGTTGCTTAAGGTCCCTAATTTTGACCGACAGCTGGCTGAAATACTGAACATAATTTAAATTTTACAAAAGGATGAAATGCGAAACCCGTCAGTTAATAAAAAATTAACAAACTCCTGGGCACGTAAGTTTTGTCATTGACTTATAGGGTTATATTCTAAATTCTAGCACGGAACAAAACTCGATTCAAAAAGAGGTTGCACAATTCATTGTTAATACAAATAACATCGGTTGCTTGTTATCTGCCTTATTTTGTATCGGTAGTTTTGACACCTAAACGAACGATGCCGGTATCGATTTATCTTGCAAGGAGATTTACGGTTTTTCTAGTTCGTCATTAAATCCATATTGCTTTACTTTTGAAAAGTCAGAGAAGTATAAAGGCAAGCTGTTAAAGACAAAACTTTTCTGTTTCAATTCAAGTTAGATTTATCTGTAACAGACACTGTAAATTTTCATCACTGACCGACGTTTAAGGCGTTAAAACAGTGAACACTTGAAATATTTGTTGTGACCAATCAGAGCAAAGATCGGGACACGCAAACTAGCCACAAAACCACAAACTAATTAACGTTCTTGGTTGCAGTTCAGTTTTCTCTCGCCTGTTTGGCTTTTTCCTTGCAACACAATAGCATTCCAGAAATATTTCTGGTGTTTACGGTTTTCCCAGTTTGGCTGTTAGTTAAGGGTACAGCCCTTTCCCTCTTCCCATCGTCCTCTGCACGCCCTCTAACTTTTTTTTTGGATTACTGCTGTTTTCATCGGGATACCCAGCGAGAGCCAGCAGGAGCCAGCGGGAGCCAGCGGGAGCGTCTGGGGAGGAGAGAGAGGATATAGTGCGAACAAAACTCAACTCCGTCGGGGTGATGGAGGGGGAAGGAGCCAGTTTGATTCGTATTGTGTGAAGTTACCCTAGTCATTTGTAAGACCCGGAAGAAAAAAAGGAATAAACAACGGTTTGAAACTTCGCGAAGTCAGATGACTGAATAAATATTCTAAAATTTGCGTCGATCATTTTATATTTGGACTCGTTGGTATGCTTCTAGGGACCATTAACTTACTGCCCGGCGTCAGATAAAAGCTTTTAATCGGCCTTTGAACTAGCTTTATTGTTTTAAATTGGCAAGTAGTAGAATGAGTTGATATTTTTGCTAACCTGGTTTTCAAAAATCCAGGTATATATAGAAAAAGGTACAGTCAAACCTCGCTTTGCGGAAACCGCTTAATACGGTCACCTCGTTATTAAGGAGAGTTTTCCTTGTCCCTTGCCCTTAAATTTTCTCTAAATTCAACCCGTTCGGTAAGGACACTTTCTATGACCTCCTCAGTGTCCGTATTAACGAGGTTTGACTACATTTCTTTAATAGCGACACTCCACCCTAGTAAGACTCGATTTCCGTCGCTCTCTCAGGTCCTCCGGTTTTTTTACCTACTTTCAAAGTTTTAAAGAACGAAATAACATTATAGATGTTTATATTTTCTGGTTGGCAGTTAAGTTGGGTAACCTCCTTTATTATTCATTCAAAATATTTCCCCGATTCTGATTGGCTAAAAGCACACGCATAATTCTCCACTACCAGTTACTGATGGCCAAATTTGGAAGAATCTTGTGTTTAGCGAGAAAATGACGTCAAAAATGCAGCGTTTTTGCAGGTTAATGCACCGTTAACCGAGAGGACCTGGGGACGAGGTTGAGTTGTTTTGGTTGTGGAAACAAAAATGGCGGACACTTCACTCGTTTTGAGAGTAAGAACTAGGCGCAATAATAGCTAAAAACATGGCAACAACAGCAACAAGAAAACTCAAATAGCGACATCTGCTATTTGGAGATATTTGCGGAGGTGAACAACCTTAAACGTGTATTATCGAAGATGAACTTAACATCGATGAATCGATGGAGGTAAGCATGTTTTAGCTATGTTTTTAAACTAGGAATTATTTTGAATGAATAACAAAACAATTATTGAATTCGGCTTTCGTGTCATATGAAGAATTTTGGAGATCTCGGAGGATGTTCTCCGCCTCGGCCTACAGACTCGACGGATAACACCCTCCTCGATCTCCATAATTCTTCATAAGATACTCAGCCTCATTCATTAATTATTAATTTTCAACCATTTTCATTTTCATTCAGCTGGGATAAATTCGTCCCCAGACTCCTCTCATTTTGCACGTCATCATGCTGACGATTACCTATGGCGTGAGCAGCAAAAAAAAAAAGTTTTTTTGCTTTTCTTTGAGGGTCATATCCATGACGAGGAATTTTGTCTACTAGCTGAGGAGTTTCCATTTATTTTGCTCGCTAATCGGGTCTGCTGCAGAGGCTATTTGATGTATTTTAGAGTAAGTATTCAAGTGCTTTTTATTTCGAAGACCTTTCAGTACTTTCATGTGTCAATTCCGCAGGCATCTTGTCACGGTTATAGTTAGTGGATCTGTTTTCTCTAGAAACCTGTTTCTCAGGCAAGTTAAGGCATGGGTTGAAAGGCTAAAAAGACCCCCCACAGAGAATGCAAAGATCCTCTTTAATGACACAGAAGGATCCAAGTAAAGGGTTCCAAAAGATATGATAAGACATTTCTCACTAAAATAGTTTTGGAAAATTCATCCCAAGTATCACGTGACATTCCTTGGACCATGACGTCACAAAATATGTTTTCTCAAACGGGGCAAGGTTGTTAAACCTCAGCCTAAAAATACTTGTCATCAAATTGTCAGCGAAACTGTCTGGATTGTCAATTAGCCTTGCAAGGTAGATTAAAGCATTTTCATTTAGAGATATTAAAGTATTTTATAAGACACGTGACCTGTTTTTCCTTATTTCGTAATCCTTGCCCTACTTAGGCATACATGCAGGGCTATTTCACAATATCAAGTCCATGGGAAAAACACTGGTGCCTAAGAATTTGCTCTTTCATTTCCTTTCCTCCGTTTTAATTTGAAAACTTTGAACGTTAACGTTTATTTGCAGGTCACTTGACTAATATTTCAACAATGAATATGTCACATATCGTTAAGGCCACCGAGCTAAAACTGTTTGCCAAGTTTCATGACGACTGATCAAAACAATCCGTTTCAAGTGCCACATTGCCAAATTATGCAAATTAGCAGGTGTTCCATGCCTGAACGTGCCTGAGTTCCCCTCAAGGTTCATAACTATACATATTATATTAACCCTTCAGTTCCTTTTTTTATTATTATTTTGCACTGTATATTGTGTTGGACGTGGCTGCATTGCAGTTTGTTGGTTGCTCAATGTCAGTGTTATTAAATTTTAACATATTATTTTGCACTGTATATTTGTGTTTAACGTGGCTGCATTGCAGTTGTTAGTCGTTCAATATCGGTGCTTTTTTAACAATTAACTATGAACCATTTTTATATGTGTTTTGCGCCTACAACGCTCTCATTTACACACACCCTCCCTTCCCACCTTACCCACTATTTTAGCTGAGACTTGAGAACTCTTTCAGTTAGGGATTCCATACCACACCTGAAATGCAACACAGGTTGCTAGAGAAACTACTGTTTTTTTGTTTTGTTTTGTTTTGTTTTTTTTTGGCAAAGCTATCGAGACTCTCACTGACAGCCGAATTTTATTTTACCAAAACTAGAATATAACTCACAGGCAAATAAGCTGCATAATGAGTACAGTTCACATATTCGAACGTATATTAGCCCGCTAGCAAGCTCGCGACTACCCTAACTGAAAAGCTTCTTCGTAGGCTAAACGTGTATATAATGCCCACTCTTTGGCCGCTTAATTAAGACAGGTGGCTGTAATGCTAATACCTTATTAGAGAGAGGCGCTTCACTCACGCAAACGAAAATACAATCTTACTCTTACAGGCGATGTTACGTCAAAGAAGCCTTACTATAACCAGATTTATCTGTTTTCGCAACAAGACGCTATGAAATTGTAACTTTAACGGAGCAATAATGGAACGTTCACGATCAATTGCCGCCTACTCCTAGATCTACTTCCGGTGCTTATAATAGGCTCCTTACTGTCTAAATAACGACGACGGCGACGTCGATGAGATCGGAGCACTTGGAAGTTTCGAGGATAGAGGCTAGAGTTGCTCTCCAAACTCGCCGCGTGCTTTATAGTACTCGACAATTACGCACGCTAACTCATGAACCATTTGTTAAAAAAACGTTTCTGAGGGTTTCTGATCATAATAATTCAAAAACAATTTCGCAGCGGGGAAGTGAATTATTCATACACTCCAAACAATCATTTCGAATTGATTAGCGTGTTCTATAAAAGCACGAATAAATATTCGTTGAATATACAGCTCAGTTGCACGCAGTTGCATTACAGGGAAGATAAGGGATGGCAGAGCTCACAAATTTTACCGAGGACAACAGCCAGAAAACGCTCAGTGAACTACGTTGCAAGGCAGAATTTACAGGAAAAGTACACAGTGAGCTTATCTTTCTTTCAGTGCTAAATACTTTTCTGTCCATCACTGCATTTCTGGAGAACACTGTGATCCTAGTTGCCCTGCACAAGGACACTTCGCTTCATCCGCCGTCCAAACTCCTTTTTCGCAACCTTGCGATAACTGATCTCTTCGTTGGTATCACTGCAGAGCCTTTGTACGTTGTGTATTGGATGTCTGAAGTAAGAGAGAGGTGGGATGTTTGCTTTTATGCACTAGTGTCTGGTTTAAGTGCAAGCTATATTTTGTGTTCAGTGTCCTTTTTGACAATGACGGCAATAAGCGTGGACAGACTTCTCGCTTTGTCGCTGGGGCTCAGATACAGACAAGTTGTAACTTTTAAAAGAGTTTGTGTAACTATAATTGGCTTCTGGATCTCTTCCATCGTCTTCGCATCATTACAGTTTTTGAATCCTGTTATAACCGCATGGTATCAATACGTAGGCATAGCCCTCTGTCTTTCCATCACATTTTTCGCTTACACAAAAATTTTCTTCGTCCTTCGTCATAACCGAATTCATGTTGAAACTCCCACTTCCCAAAGGCAACCAAACCAAGCAATTCCAATGAACATAGCTCGATACAGAAAGGCGGTGTACAGTGCACTGTGGGTGCAGGTAGCATTGGTTGTTTGTTATCTGCCAGTGGCTATAATGGTAGCTTTAACATCCCAAAGACGAATCCCTATATCCATGTACCTCACTAGGCAATTTACAATTACCGTGGTTTTCTTAAACTCGTCATTAAATCCCTTGCTGTACTGTTGGAAGATCAGAGAAGTAAGGCAAGCTGTGAAAGAAACATTGAGAGGGCTTCGCTGTTCATCGAATTAGTTAACCAGTTTTTTAACCTTCCGATAAAACATCAGCACCTGACGTTTTCAGTAGCTGTTCGTTGCTATGGTTACGAGATATCACGTCATAAGTAGCAGGTGGTCAAGTCAATTTTGGGTGAAAATACATGTTTCTTCAGCTTCTTTCAACAATAAAAGTGAATCTTGTGGCTAAAATCATGCAAAGTGCTTATTTATGTGTTATTTTTCATGTAAAGCACAAAAAATTACCATTTCTCGCGGTTTTAACCTGATTTCTAATTCTTGGTAAAATTCAAGATGGCGACCATTGTTGGTTACGTCACAGGCCTCCAGCAGCTCCACCAGCCATAAAATATACCTCATCTTGTTAAGAAGATCAAAGGCTTTTCACTAAAGGTAAAATCGTTTCAAAATACTTCAACGCATCAAAAACTCCGGGGAGGGGTTCCATTCACCCCCCCCCCCGTGCCACGGTGGGGGTACGAATTTGCGTGGATGTCCGAGGGTTAATATGCGGTGATATCCTTACTGTATTTAACTTTACTTGCGTAAAAAATGACAGACTTCGAAAAATGATTGACTTCTTGATGTATTGTTTACTAGCTTTGAATTATTAACAACTGGCGTAATTATAGTTTTAAAATACCGCTTTAGAGCTCAGCATTAGTTAGCGATGTAGAAAATATATAATCATCTGTGTCTACGTTCGTCTACGTTCTTGTGATCTAAACCTGTATTTATAAAAACATAACATAGTAGGATTCAGATATAAGCGTTAGGGTTGACATCGGAGGAAAAGGGTTGGAATTATATAGTTTTACTCCTCTACCAAAACAGTTTTTTTGGGAAAACGATTCGTCACAAAAATTTAGAGCTACATTACAGTCTGAAGACATTCAAAGAATGATCCACGATTTTATGAATATTACAACAATCACGAGAAATGTTGACATGAACCTTCATGCTGTAGAAAATATTCTTATTTCAACCGCCAAACGCTGTTTGAAGATCAAAACAGCAAAAAAGCGACGTTGCAAAATATCTTCGAACAAAAAATGGTTCGACAAAGAATGCCGCTATAAAAGACATGAACTGCGGAAACTTTCTAATCAAAAACATAGAGATCCTCTAAACAATACCCTCAGGGAAGAGTTTCACAACGTCTTAAAACAATATAAAAACCTTTTGAAACATAAGAGAAACGAATACTATAGCAATAAGATCTGTGAACTTGAAAATACGGTCGAAAATTCGAACAATAAGAGCTTTTGGAACTGTTTGAAGTCAATGGACGACACTATGAAGGAAACCTACACCCCTCCAATTTCTGAAGAAAAATGGATGTCCCACTTTCAATCTTTGCACTCGAATGAACCCCTTAATGAACAGCAGGAGGCAATTATAGATGAGTTGCAGAATTCAAAGGATATTACGACACGATCTCACTCCTTGGATTACCTCATCACTGAAAGTGAAATTCGCACTGCAGCTGGAAAACTCAAAAACAACAAATCTTCTTTTTCAGACAAAATCAAAAACGAAATGATCAAATCTAGCCTAAACGAATTAATGCCTGTTTATCTAAAACTATTTAACACGGTCCTCGACTTAGGAACTATGCCCCAAATGTGGTGTGATGGCCTCATTACACCAATTTTTAAATGTGGTACTAAAAGCGATCCATCAAACTACCGTGGAATTTGTATTTCCAGTTGTATTGGAAAACTATTTTGTTCAATTCTCAATCAGAGACTTCTAAAGCACGTTGACTTAAATAATATACTTCACAAGTCTCAAATTGGTTTTCTAGCAAATAATAGAACAGCAGATCATGTCCTCACACTTCGAACATTAATAGACAAATATGTCCATTGTCACAAGGAGAAAATATATGCGTGTTTTGTTGACTTTAGGAAAGCCTTTGATTCGGTTTGGCATGATGGGCTTCTCTATAAGTTATCTAAGATCAATGTCCAAGGAAAGTTTTATAGTCTAATTAAGAGTCTATACTCGAAGTCTACCTGCTCTGTCAGGATTGGAAATAACAAAACACGATCTTTTCAATACGCAAGAGGAGTGCGGCAAGGCTGCATTTTAAGCCCTCTGCTCTTTAACTTATACCTTAACGATCTAGCGTTCTCATTTGACAATGTTTTATCAGACCCCTTCGTGTTACCAAATGGCACCAGACTCAACTCTCTCCTTTACGCAGATGACTTGATAATATTATCGCGATCCAAACTTGGTCTACAAAACTGCCTTAACGTACTATCTTCATATTGCAACTCATGGATGCTTAGAATAAATCCTAAGAAAACCAAAATAATGATTTTTCAACGATGCACACGAAAATGTGAACATAACTTCCGCATAGGCAATGAAGTAATCGACGTTGTCCAAAACTATACTTACTTAGGAACTCGCATTACATCTTCCGGAAATTTTACACTTTCGCTTGAACATCTCCGACAAAAAGCTCTTCACGCGCTCTTCAGCCTCAGGCGGCACACGGATTTGAATAATCTTAAGCCCTCACTTGCGTGTAAAATTTTTGACTCTATGATTTCACCAATTCTAACCTACAACAGTGAAGTTTGGGGTGCTTTTGTTAAATCAGATTTTAAGTCCTGGGACAGCTCTGCAATTGAAAAAACCCATTTGCAATTCTGTAAACGTTATTTACAAGTACATAACAAGGCATCCAACATTGCTTGTAGAGCTGAACTCGGTAAATTTCCCATGATCATTGATATAAATAAAAAGATTCTAAATTACTTAGACTATCTGAGAGGTAAAGATGAAGATTCTATAGTTAAACAGGCCTTACAAATTTCAATTGACCTTCATCATAACGGAAAAACTAGCTTTTACTCTAATCTCATGAAAATGGTTGACTACTATGATCTAAACTATGACTTTTCCTGTAATTCATTGAGTGACTCAATAGTTAATAGGTATATCGGCATAATGAAAAATAAATACGTCTCTTACTGGAATCAGACCCTTCAACAATCACAAAAACTCAGTTTTTATTGTACAATCAAAGACGACTATAGCCCCTCGCCGTACCTAGTTTTAACAAGAAAAAACCCTTCGAGAAAAGCATTAGTTAGATTTAGAATAAGTAGTCATCAACTTAGAATTGAAACAGGTAGATACGAAAACATTCCTCGCAATGAAAGGATATGTCACTTTTGTACAAGTAACAAAATCGAAGATGAAAATCATTTCTTACTAGATTGTAAGGCTTATTCTCAGATCAGAGACATATTTTTCTCCAAACTAGAAACTAAAATACCTGACTTCAAATCACTTTCACACGATACTTTAATATCTCTTCTTATGAATTCCTCTGATTATTTAATTAACTGTCAATTAGTTTCATTTATCTCGCAATGCTTTGAATTAAGAACCAAATTAATATCAATGAATGAATGAATGAATGGGAACTGTAACGTTTTGTAATGTTTTGCACGTACTAATTAGTTGAATTAGTACTTAAATTTAGACTAATAACTTTTGCAATACTGTAATTCCTTTATGGTCATGCAAATAAAGCTTTTGGTGTTGTTGTTGTATATATTCATTCAAAAGATTTGTAGGAAAGATGAAGAGGATCGGATGCAATTATATTAAAAAGTAAAAAATTTTCTTTTTCTTCTCCATGTCACGGAAAACCGGGCGAAAAAGCGTAAGGTGTATAGAGGTCTGTATAGAGTGTAGACAAAGGGGTGTTCATAGCTTGGATTAATGAAAACACCTTTTGTTTTGTTTTGTCTTTTCCTTTTATTCCTATGAAGCTTAACAAAATTGAGAAAGCGGGGGATGTTTTAACTTTTTAAGCTTTCAATATAACACAAAATAACCTTCGGCATGACAACCTTGCTATGTACATTTTTAATTACTCATATGATTTTTTGGCGGCATTCACTATCACCTGACATTTTATTGGGCCAAGTGAAACCACTCTCTATTTTCTTTCTGGAGGCTGTCGTTCGCGTTTTAATGTTGACCGACAGCTGGCTGAGATACTACCATTATTTAAATTTTAGAAAAGGGTAAAATGCCAAACTTGTTTACTCAGTTAATAAAAAATTAACAAATTCGTCATTAAATCCATATTGCTTTATTATCGAAAAGTCAGAGAAGTAAGTCAAGCTGTTAAAGACAGAACTTTTCTGTTCCAATTCAAGTTAGATTTACCCGTCACATACACTGTAAATTTTCAAAATTGACCGACGTTTAACTTAGTTTTGTTAATTCAATGGCTACTTCAAGCGGATTTTTGATTTTAAGCAATGGCTTATAACTCTATAACCAGCTCAGTTCAAAGTTTGCAATAATTTGTGTGGGCCGACTCACTCAGCCATCTTAATTCGTCGGACTGAAGTGTTAGGGCTAATTGTTGCTAGCCTAGACCAGAAGGAATGGTTAATCGTTACGGGTGAAAATTTTTGTATCACCAAGTATTACCAACGCAAAAATAAAACAAATGTAAATCAACTTCAGTAGCTGCTAAGCAAGATTGACCTAGTTTGAAACTGATTTCTTTCAATCTTCATCGCGATTACTCCAAGTCACTAACTTTGTCAAATGTAGGTGAACCCTCCTAAAGTAGCACGTGCGTCACGAGGAATTTCGTATAATTTTTTTTTTCATTTTTTTGTAACTTGCTTATTTCAACGCGATACGACTCACTTTTTACACGTCTTCCTTAGACCATCCCCCTTTTTTTTTCGTTTAGCGTCGAATGCGTTTCCTGATGTTGGGTCGGTCGGTCGGATTGAAAAAAAAAATCACATCAAGTCTCGGAATAGGAGGCCCTGGTAGCCCAGAATGACGCTAAAAGTTAACATTCACATATTTGGATTAACAAAATATACTGCACAATATACTGTAAAATATGTTCCTGTTTTTGTCTATGCTGCTACTACGCTCATTTTTCAGCTGAAAAGAATTCAAGTGAAAAATGGTTTAACTATATCCTTACTTTTGTTTTTTGAAAATGCCAAAAATTTG